TGAAAAGTCATATGAGAATATAATGGCAATAAATATAATCAACCATTGTTGCAACAAACACAAATGTATTTTTTTTTTCAATTCTAAAATATATGAGCATAAAGGTAGAAGAAAAAGCTTGGATATCCTATGGAAATTGGTTTTGAAACAAATGAAAATACCTTCATTTTCTCTCTGTTTTGCCACTAAAATATATTACATATGCTATTAAATAGGATGCACTCAAGGATATCTGTATGTGTTCCCTTTGGTTGACTTATGGATGAGTCATTGCGAATGGATGAAACGCCATCTATTTGAAAGCTTTTTCTACTTCAGAATACAAGAGTGATTTCTTGCTTGATATCGCAACCAAAATCTGTTAATTCCCAATGTTTTTATTCGAGATAGATCATAGATTTGAAGTATGAAACTGAAATTGAAAGAATACAAAACGAAATTCGATCAAAGTCATAACAGTATCTGAATACTTCGATGAAATGGTTTTTGAGAAGCCATGAAGATGTTATCTATCGACAAAGTAAAAGGTAGAAAAACAACTCAGTTTTCCTCAAACTAATCATTTGAAGGAAAGCCTGAATGAGACGACGTAGATTATTGAGTATTGAGATTGTTCTCTGAACTAAAATGATAAATTTATCAATTGTCGTGTGGGCGGCATCGCCAAATTAGATGATAAATCATTGCTAAGTCAGGTTCGAAGAGAATAACAGTAGAAAACATATACGACAAAGAATTTAACAGAGTTGTGGACAACTCACAAGACTCATGGCGCATGCAATCGAGTGATTTGCGTTTTTGAAAATCTTCAAATGGGCGAACACAACGTTTTCGCTCTCATATTTTATTAAAATTATGTTTCAAAACAAATGTGTTTGTTTTTCCATCGCTTTGCCATTAAAATATATGTTATGCTGTTTGACCACTATTGAATAGTTTCACTATAGGATGACTGCGTGTGCAAGCGATTAAAATCCCAGCTGACGTCGAATGGATCCTATGGGATAGAGGAAATCGACATTTGTTTTAAAGGTTTTTTCTTCATATTTTTTTTTTTCAAATACTCGAAAAATATATTCTTTTCTGAAGTTTTGACGCAGCTCAGTTTTTCAAACCGTCAAGCCTTTGTCGCACTCTGGAGTTGATGGAGTTTTAGAATTTAATTCAATTCATTTCTTAGCAAAGTGTTATCTATGCTCAGTGTGTATGCGCGCGCATACAGTGTGTGCATTTGCGATAATTGTGTTTCGCTCTGCGCCTCTTATGCTCGGTTTGTTTTAAGCTTGAACATTTATTCATTTGTTTAATTTTTTTTTTGACCGAATGATACTACGAGGCCGATGTTATTTGCAGTCAGATTTTCTGAAAATAGCGCTGGATGCTATTTGCAGTCTAGTACAAATTATATTTTGAGACTGCAAATAGCATCCAGCGCTATTTTAAGAAAATCTGACTGCAAATAACATCGGCCATACTACGACTTTCTGCGAGAAGATCATGGCTGAAGCCATGCAGATTATTCTTCGTGACCAAAATAGCCTAAACACAGAATTTTTCAAAATAGACGGTCATCGCCAAGCTGACGACACTTCAGTACAAACATCATTTGAGCGCTCGCAGCGCCACGAACTCTCGTATCATTTTGTATTGACTTTTCGATAGTTCATGAGTTCGCCGTGGACTTCGTCAAAACGTGTCGTCCCTTTGGTCATCGCCATCTACCACGGTCTACTACGATTGCTCCATGCAAAAATATACACCAAAATAGATTTCTATTCAAAGAAATTCACAAAATCGATCAAAATGAACGAATAACTCTAGATTTCATATTGTGCTAAAAAAATAGTTCAAAAGAATATTCGATCAAAGAAAAGATGTTTCGTACGTTGATGGGAATGTCTTTTAAAAATTCAAAAGCCTATCGGCAAAAAACGGATGAAAGCTCACCGTTTTCATAAAATTGAGCAATCAAGTGAGATTCGATGCGAAGGAACGTGGAGCACTGATCATTATTTATTTAAATTGAAAATTTCTACTGTACACTAGATTCGATTGGCTTTCGAGTAACCATATCGATCAGATAGTGGATCGTTGCAAGGTCATCATAGAAATGAATGAGGATAATAACGGTGGATGAAATGCTTCTGAAAACTGTTTTTACGTGGTTTGATTTTTTCAAAACAAATAGAATAGCAAAACATTCAGCTAGCAAACACGCGCATTTTTTAAAGTCCTTGAATGCTACGAGCATAAAACAGAGAACAAACCGCGTTCATATTTTATTAAAATTATTTTTCAAAACAAATGTGTTTGTTTTCCCTTTGTTTCGCCATTAAAAAATATATTATGCTGTTTGACCACTATTGAATAGTTTCACTATAGGATGACTGCGTGTGCGAACGATTAAAATCAAACCGACGAATCATCCGACCGCTGACGTTCAATGGATCCTAGTGGATAGAAGACAACGGTATTTACTTTTATTTTGAATAATTGAGTATTTAGAAAAAAAGAATAAGCGCGTGTGTTCGTAAATCGTTGAGAAGAGAAACGGTATAAATACGGCTATTGTCCATTCGAATTTCAGTTGCACTCCAGAATTCGTTCTAAACAGTCGAATGCAGTAAATGAGAGAAAAAGAAAGTAATATTCAAAAGTTTTTTTCTTCAAAAATCGAATAAATCGAATTTTTTTTTAAATTTGGTTACTTATAGTCAGCAATTTCATAGAAAAGTCCATAGTCTATTTGACATAAAAATCGGCGAAAATGAAATGTTTAAAGAAAGAAAAAGAGAAACCATTTTTCGAAAATCCAATCAAAAAATTGAAGGCAACATGGAATGCGGCCAATCCATACCAGAAGTGGCAAATTTTCTATAAATTTAGTTTGCTCGTGGAAGATGTGGTTCAAGTTAGAGTGTTCACCACAAGATCAACTGGAATTGTTGGATATTGCCCAGCCATTACCTGTATCGCTCATTGCGCATTGCTCATTTACACCGTTTATTATTACATGAATAGTGGCAATATTTTCGGTTTCCTTCCATGCTTCTGTGTGTTTGGTTTAATGGCTTCAGTAAGTATATCCACTCATTTATATACCATATCTATGGGTGACATCGAGAATAGTGTATGTTTTTTTTTCGACTTATATTTCGATAAAGTGAAGTATGTTTCACTCATGGTTTTGGCTTCAACTGAATTCAGCTTCGAAATTCACATTTTTGTTTGAGTACCTTGCTCTGCATGGGATTCGATTACAAGGAAATCAAAATTTCAAAATTTGAAATCATTGAGAATTTTTCAACAGTTCCAAGATTGAAATCAACAAATATTTAATAAATTTGTGCTTAACTTATCAAGGTTTATTCAGCATATTGGCCATGCATCCTCAAGCCAGGCAGTTGGTATCGTTTAATTAATGTCTCTGGAAAGTTGTTGTATCGTGATGATAATCAGAAATCAGCTTACAATCAGATCTGCTCACAAAGCATTTACCGATCGATCAAAATCTACGTATTGTCGATGGGACTGTTGGTATTGGCATCATTTGGAGCTGTTCTTGGGCCATTTCACCATTTTGTTCACTACGGCACATACGTAACATTGTATAATTTGAAACTACCGTATTTCAATCAATATCCGCATATCGAGTATCTTATCAACATCGGCTGGGAAACATTCATCGCTTCTCTGGGTATTGGGGGAATGCTTTTAATCGAGGCCAAAATGGCTTTTTGCAATAACACCATCGCCGTTTCATCGGAGCTAATTGAATTGGAGCTCAACGAAATGTCGGATGAGTTCGAAAAAAAGAATGAGTCGTCGGAAGCCAAACCGGTTTCACAGCTACAATTGATCTTGATGAGGGTTTTGCATATGGATGAGTATGTTCAATTGTCCATTCATCTTTTTATTTAGCATAATTTCTGTTTTTCCTCTATAGATACGTCAAGTCCTTCGGAAATATGATGTATGTTCGCAATTTTCTGTCACCGCCGTTATTCACGTCCTCAATCGCTGTGTCAATTTACAGCCAATACATGGTAGGACATTTGATAGATCAGTTGTATTTTCTGCTCCTATTTTTTTTTAAATTTTTACACAGATTTATATTTGGATAAGTCTATAACGTGAAAATTTATTTCCGGAATGATTAAAAAATTTATCCATTTTGGCTATAAAGATCAATCCAAATTTTTCAGAAAAAAGTCCTTTTTTGGTAAGAAATGGTATATTTTTCCGATTTTCCACCCAAAATGATTAGCAAATTTGGATTGATTTCTATGGTGGCAGGTCAATTTACCAAAAAATTGGCCGAAGCCAAAAATACATATTGAAATGGTATATTGACATGGAACCGATTTTTACAGCCAAGATGAATGTTTTCTGACCTTTTTGAAATAAAGTTTGCGTTTGCGTAAAGACTCATCCTTCTTTGGACGGATCATTCTAAAACGCATACTTTGTTTGAATATTTAGATGGGCTATCCCGCTGGCTATGGATTTTCGGTTGTATCTTACGTACAAATGGTGATTCTCTGCTACACTGGCCAAAATATCCAAGACCGAGTAAGATATTTGAAAATGAAAATTCTCTTAATTCAAATGAACACATTTTGACCACGAATCTTTTTTTCTTTAAAATTATTATATAGAATGACCGATTGCTCAAGGCATTTTATAATTCAAAATGGTATCTTCTGCCAAAAAAGGATCAAAAACATATTTTGCTCATGATTCTTCGAATGGAAAACGGTGTCCGCGTCACCATTGGCCCATTTCAATCTCTTAATTATGAAACGTTGAAAATTGTACGGCATTCGCGAATTTTTAAAATCGTTTTTGCAAATTATTCTATCAATAAACTCTTTGTTTGATGTTTCAGTTGAGTCAGAAAATTTATTCGTTTCTCATGTTTTTGATCAATTTGGGGACGTAAATGGACTAAGAGAAAATTTACTGCACTTTATTATATAAAACAACAACCAACAAACATGTTACTAATTCACTCAATAGGTACTTTTTTTTAAAGTTAATATGATTCCAACCTGTTTAACGGTTTTGTTACTTTCCAAAATAGACGGACTGGCCAGAAATCGATCAGAGAAGAACAAAAGTTTTTCAAACCGTCAAGCCTTTGTCGCACTCTGGAGTTGATGGAGTTTTAGAATTTAATTCAATTCATTTCTTAGCAAAGTGTTATCTATGCTCAGTGTGTATGCAGGCGCATACAGTGTGCGGATTTGCGATAATTGTGAACTGACCGAATCCATGCCGAATCGAAAATGCGATGTAATCGCGGTGACACACATTTTGTGTGTCAAAAATAATGAAATATATTCAAATCCGTTTGCAATTGGCAAAAATAGCCGGATATGTCAAGAGGTCAATCGAAGGTCAACTCAGTTCCACACTCCATTACGTTTTAATTCCCTTGCTATCGAATATTTATATTGCAATTACCTTCGTCACAATTTTTTCTCACTCTTCATACTGCTTATACTGTTATACTGTTTTGAACACTTTTAAATAGGCACACCTAATGATAAGCACATGTGAAGGCAACTCTTATCGAAATGAATCAAAATAAATATGAAATAAGGGCACATTCTTGTTTGCAAATAAATCGTTGAAAACTTTGGCAAAAATCCATCGTTTCCTTTGATCTGTGGTTGAATTCCTTACTTCATACCAAGCGTCACTCAACTTGATTATATGAGAGTAGACATAATTGGACAAAAATAAGTGGAAAAATTTTGGATAATTATTAGCTCCCTTTGAAGCAGATTTTTTTTTTCTTGAACAACGTCTTTCAACTGGAAAGAAATACAACAAGAAATATTACAAAAATAGAATGAAGAGTAATTCACCAAATTTTTTTTCCCACAAATCCGACCCAAAAACTCAAAATAAAATGGAATGCTTGCGATTCACATTCAAAATTAGAGTAAAATGATAGTTGGTCCTTGATCTTGTGAACAGAAAATGACATCGCATATTTTTATAAATATAGAATTGACGCCGATCAGCTGCGTAGAGCGTCGATGTGAACAGTATTAGGACATTCGTTGAAACAGAAACACTTTTGTGTTTTGTAAATGGACGGTAGTTAATTTTAGCATTTCAATCGGATGTCTTAGGTGATCGGTCGGAAATTCCATACGGTTTATTTAGTTCACTGTGAAATATTGGGCAGAAAAAAAATTCATATTCGATGGGATTATCTTGAAAAGTTCAGAGATTTTGTTATTGTTCAAAACGGAACTGTTTCGATTTTTGTTGCTTTCAAATCGTGCATTGAAAAATTCTTTCTTTTTTAACAATTATCTTATCCAAAATACGCATATTTCGCAACATACGTTCAAAATATAGATCGCGCAATAAACATGTACAAGTTGGAAAATTCAAAACCAAAATTTTGTATAGGTTACACATTGACCGCAAAAGCAATGAACTACCTGACGATATTATTTAGTATTGTGTTCATTGCATTTACGGTTTATGTTCAGTTCAGTAGATACATATTTATGCACAACTTTGCAACCGAAAGTCAATTTGAAATGTACGCATTTCAAGCGGTGTGCGTTTGTTATGGTGAGTTTGTTGTTTAGTTTTTAAAATTGTTTATTTCATTAAATCATATCATTCAAATGCAATCATTTCTGTCTGTGCAATTTTTTGTTCTTGCATTAAAAATTTCAAATTTTGTCTAAAGCGATTGTTATACTCGCGGCCTATATCTTTTCGTCCTACGGCATCGCTAGAGTGAGTAAATTGATTCGATATCTTATTCATAGAGATGAGAAATTCAATCGATATATCAGCCAATTTTCATTTTTTTTCCATGTTTCCATTTCCTCTCTTGTGTTTCAGTAGAAAAAATTGGTATACATGCGAGTGGCACTCATTTGTTGGGGAATATTACTAAATCTGTGGACTGCTTTCCAATTCAATTACACGCTTCTATTGTTGACATATTTTAAAAAAGGATTTCAACTGGTCGATTACTTGGGCGTTGTTATGACAGGTAGTTTTGTAAATTCAAATGCGAATTCAATTAAAAGAAATCGATCAAAAGAGATCATACGAGTATTTGAAGTTGCACAGTACTTCTGATCAGAGATTAAAATTTTACAGTATTTTCTTTGGTGTTTATTTTCAGTATTTCTGGTGACTTTTTATTTCTTCATTCTGATAAGTTACAAAGCGATAAGAGAAGCCATTGAGATCGATACATCTGGAAATCCGCTGCTATACGCATCATATACAGTCAACTATAGTTTCAATCAGAACGTTACTAGCATCATGACTGGTTTTTTGATGTTTGCTATTGTGCTTGGGCAGAGCATCTTCTATGTTGTACACTTTCATTCGAAATTTTTTCCCGAATTTATAACTGTTGGTTATGTTTTATTCGGTAAGTTTTATGAACATTTTTTCGCTATTGAATTTGGTAAAAATATAGAAAAACCAAGAGTGGAACAATGTTCCATGAACATTTTGTAGCAAATTCACAACCAAAATCATAAGAGACCTTTCATCATTTTTTTTTTCAGTTTTCAACATATGGACGATAGTTTGCTGGTTCCGTGGAATTGTCCATGTAAATGAATTCGAATAGTTAATCAATAATGATCATTATTTACTAATTATGATTATTTCTTCCTTTTGTTTATTGTCACAGAAACAAATTTATTTGTGGCCACTAATTTTGTGGGCAATATTCTTGTGTGTATGGTTTTGGGCCATTTCTGTGCTCACCTACTCCAAATCGTGGAACAGGGGCAACATCAAGGCTTTGATTATGTTTTACGTTCTAACAGGTACTTACAGTCAGTCAAAAAAGTATTCGGCCACCTGTAAACAATTTTTTTTCTTCATATTTCTGTGCAATAATTATTCAAAGTCAATTCAATTCTTGTTTATTTATTAAACTTGAAGTATATTCTTTATTATTAATAGCATATTTAAAATATTAATCACATTTTAGAATGTTTTTGGGACCTTTTTCAGTGAGATACTTGAATTTGACGCAAAAAAAGTATTCGGCCAAACATCAATATTGCATGATTTTTTAAGAAAAAAAGAGAATATTTAATATTTTGTTGGGTTTCCTATTGCGCGACGAACCGCCTGCATTCTACGTGGCATTGAATCGACCAAATGTTTGGTCACATTCGTTGGGATTTTGGCCCATTCGGATACAATCGTGACTTTCAACTCAGCTATGCTACTGATGCTGTTTTGGTGTATTTTTCGATCCAAATGGTCCCATAAATGTTCAATTGGATTGAGGTCAGGTGACTGGGCTGGCCATTCAAGCACATTTTCGATCTTTTTGGACAACCATTTCTTCACACTTCCTGCCGTGTGCTTGGGGTCGTTGTCATGCTGGAACACAAAGTCGGATTCAATGTTCAATTGGTAAGCACTTGACAACAAATTTCTTTGAAGAATGCCTTTGTACACATACTGGTCCATTCTTCCATCGATAAACACCAATTTTCCGACACCCGAAGCAGTCATGCAACCCCACACCATCACGGAACCGCCGCCATGCTTCACGGTTGGCGTTAGGTTTTTTGACTGTAACTCCGTAGCGGGTTTTCGCCACACTTTAGCTCAAAAATTCGATGAAAATACTTCAAACTTACTTTCATCCGACCATATCACCTTATTCCAGTACGATTGTGGTGTGTTTGCATGACGAATAGCGAATTCCAAACGAACTTGGCCTTATTAGCCGAACTCACCAAACATTTTTTCCGTGCGATCCGACCATTGTACCCATGTTTTTTCAGAAAATTTCTTACTGTTTGCGGTGTAACTTCAACATTGTCAGTGCCAGCGATGTCTGCTGCAAGTTTTGGTGCCGAAGGCTTTGGATTTATTTTGATTTTTCGGATCATTTTCGTTTTCAGCCGATCGCTGATCTTCGACGGCCGGCCCGATCTTGTTTTGTTCAGTATTGTGTCACTTGTTTTATACTTTTTGATGATTGAGTTTATGGTTGATCGTGGTGTTGAACATATTTCAGCGATTTTTCGCTCACTTTTGTTATTTTTGTGAAGATTTATGATGATTTCTCTCTCCTCGAAAATCGTTTCTTTGGATTTTACCATTTTCCATCGATTCGGCGGTTTTCAAGCTAACTAAATGCGCAAATACATTCTAACTAAGTGACAGTTTAGTTGTACAGTGGAATCTCGGAAAAGGTTATCAAAATGTTCCAGAGGTGATTAACTTTTCTTGACATTTTTCAAATTTGATACAAATTGCATGGTTCAACGATATTTGGTTCAAATTTTATTATATTGGCACATTTTCATCAGTTTACATCAAAAAGTAAAAATGAGTGCCAATAAAAATCGAGAATTTCAATCCGTTTCTTCTTAATTTTCGATATGGCTGCTTCAGATACACCATATTCTGGAGCCAATCGTTCTCCATGAACACCACTGTCGGTTTTTTTCAAAATTTCATCATTTTGCTCTAAAATTAATCTGGCTTGTACTTCAATTTTTTCAACATTTTAATCGACAATACGAATGAGAGCTACGTAGAGCGAATGCAACTCACTGAGTCTATTGTTTATACCGGCTAACTCGTACACAACAAAGGCTACTGTCAGCTGTTATTGTTTGTCAATACGTTTATAAAAAGAAAGGATTAGTAGAACACAAATACACAGCGAACAGGCACTTGCCTGAAACGCCGATCAACGCACGACATATTTTCTTCGTTTTGTATTGTTGGTTTGCATTCCAAAACTACTGAATCGCGTTTAAAATGTACACACGCTCTAAAAAGTTAAGTAAATAATTAACTTTTAAAGGCGTTCAATGGGAGCTAAACGTCGCTTAACTTATCTGGACAATTAACTTTTGTGTGAGTTAACTTTTCCGAGATTCTACTGTATTTCACAATATTAAAAAATTTAATTGGCATTTGTCATCGATAAATGTCAAAACAATAGAAATAAATCATGAAATCGATGAATGGCGGAAAAATTTTTTGCGTCGAATTTGAGGGTTGCGAGAAAAAAACTCTCAAAAATATTCCAAAATGTGTACAATATCATAAATTTGCTATGAATAATATGAATGGGTGAGGGCAAAAGTGAGACTTGAATTCACAGCATATTTAAATGAAACACAAAAGAAAGATTTTTTTAAAGTGTAACATCGACAGAGATTTTTTCAAAGTGAAACACCGCGTGTTACATTTCAATAAAATTTGTTTTCATGATTCACTTTGAAAAACGTTCGCGTAGATGTTTCAATTCAAAATAATATGTATCGATGTTTCGTTTGGAAATATTTTTGTGTTGGTGTTGCATTTAATTAAATTTTTTTCGCATGCTTTGTTTTGATATATTTTTTCATTGATGTTTCATTTCAATAAATTGTCGCAATTAGATAATATTATTAAATTTTTGCATATGGAAATATCTCGAAAACGGCTGGATAAAACGACAAAATGGACCGTGATGTCACTCCCGAAGGGAGTGTAAACACCTGGCTGGTTTGATGGCCTAGAATACAAATCCGGTGAAATTTGAGCTGATCCATGGATTCTCAGGATTCGACCAGATTCCAGCATTTCAGTTTCTTTGCGTTGTGGTGAAATTCCATAGAAAACATAGAAAAAATGATTTTAAAGATGCATATAAAAATGAAGTGCTTGAATCAGGCCGAATCCAGAGAATCCATGGATCAGCTGAAATTTCACCGGATTTGTATTCTAGACCATCAAACCAGCTGGGTGTTTACACTCCCTTTGGGAGTGACATCACGGTCCATTTTGCCGATTGACCCAGCCGTTTTCGAGATATTTCCATGTGTAAATATTTAATAATATTATATTCAATTGCATTGGCCTATATGGAAGACAATCGAGCGCCGAGAACTTATGCTGTTTCGCTCACACTTATGTGCAATTTTTTCTCGTATTATAAGCTGTTGTGTTACGAACAACAGAGCCGCTCGCTTCGTTTCTCTTGATAAACATTGCACACAAACACAAACACAAACACGAACACGATTGAACATGTTTCGCTTTACAAGCGATTATGAATGAACGTAATGAAGAGTTAGTGCCTTACAATATTGAGTGTGTGCAACATTTATTGCGCGTCAATTTCCAAGAGAAACGAAGCGAGCGGCTCTGTTGTTCGTAACACAACAGCTTATAATACGAGAAAAAATTGCACATAAGTGTGAGCGAAACAGCATAAGTTCTCGGCGCTCGATTGTCTTCCATATAGGCCAATGAAAAATAAGCGAAAAAAATCAATTAAATGCAACACCAACACAAGAATATTTCGAAACGGAACATCGCCGCAAGCGTTTTTCAAAGTGAATCATGAAAACAAATTTTATTGAAATGTAACACGCGGTGTTTCACTTTGAAAAAATCTCTGTCGATGTTACACTTTAAAAAAATAATTCGTTTTTGTTTTGTTTTTATGTATTCTGAATTCAAGTCTCACTTTTGCCCTCACCCATTCATATAGAAAATACTTCAAATTTATTAAATAAACAAAAATAGTTACGGTTTTTATGATTAAATGCACAAAAAATTGCGAAAATTTTTTTTTTTTGAAGGTTTCCGAATACTTTTTTGACTGACTGTATACCAATTGATTGGAATTGAAATAAAAGACTTGTCATCAATATTGCATCCATACTCATACGTACATCCTTTTTATCGATATTTTCAGTGCCTATTCTGGCTATATATTTCATGGCTTTCATGAGTTACACATTAGCGAAACGAGCGGCTCAACATCTCAACCAAAGACATCAACTGCCAGAAACATTCTACCCCAAGCGTGAGCCCAATAATTCCAACAAAAATCACAGTGTGAAACGAAACCAAACAAAACCCCAGAAATCTCCCATTTAACTCAACTCGATTACGACTATAAAATTATGTCGATTTTATGTAATACGCGTCATTATTTAAAAAAAAAAAAAAAAAGAATCCAACGATGGGAACAAAATTGGACGACTTTTGATAGATTTAAGGAATAAAAGTGAGAATTTTACAAATATCTAACAATAAAATATGGATTCTTCCTAAGGGAGAGACACTCTCTCTCTCTCTCTCTCTCAAAGTTTCATGTTGATCGCATTTGCAGAAGTTTGGTTCTTGGCCTTCCGAGAAAATGTCGACAAAATTGAGGAAAAAAAATCAAATTTCTGCAAATGCGATCAACATGAAACTTACAGAATCTTATTTTTTCTCCAAAAAATGAAACCTCAGAAAGTTTGAAGCCAATCAGAATTGATTAACGGGTACCTCCCATACAACCAATTCCTATACTTTTCCTTAACACGTTGTGTACGGAAAAGTAAAAAATAAAGTTCTTTAATTGGTATCAAATTTCACATATGAATTCATAAACACATCGAGAAAAACAACTTTTTTTCACATAAAAAGCTAAAGCAAGATTATTTTTTCGTTTATTGTTGTTCGGTCCTGGATCTCTTGTGATTCATTGATGATTTGCAACGCATCTATTTTTTTTGTCGAAATTCCAACTGAATATGATGTTTTATTGATTAATTTATGCCCGTTGTAAGTGGTTCGGATTGAATTAAATCCAAAAATTTAATTTTCAACTTTGCAAGAACGGCCAAAAAATGAAAGCTAATAAGTCAAAGCATAAAATTTGGTCGAGAACAAGAAAAATTGATCTTATGAGTACACTCCATATGCGTTATGGGGCTTTGAAATCGTGATTTTCCCGAATTTTGTTAAATCCTAAAGATTTAACTTTCAAATGCGGGATTTAAGAATTTTTCACGCAAAACCATGTTGCAAATAAGTCAAAAATTGTTGAAAATGACCGAAAAATTCTAAATCAGCATAAAACCCAACCACTTTGTAAGTTTTTTGAGTCCAAATATGCAAAAATATCATTTTTCGTATATTCTCAACATTTAATTTTCAATTGCGTGATTTAAGAATTTTTCACGTTAAACAGTGGGTCAAATAAGGCAAAAGTTGTGGGAAATGGTCCGAAAAATCTAAATCAGGAATAAAAAGTAAGCACTTTTGACCATTTTTGGGTTCAAATAGGCAAGAATAGCAGTTTACGGAAACCCTCAGTATTTCACTTTCACATTATGGTGAATTGTTTTGCGAAATCTCGTTTTTCGACAGTCTGCCCATCCAAAACTTCTAGCCAGCTTCAAATCAAGCACCGAAAGGGTAACTCTCATACAAATTTGGCCTGTTTTGCCAATTTTATGAAGAAAATAAGAAAATTTGTATGGAAGGTACCCGTAAATCGCTTCGAGTTTTTTTGATAAAAAAATAAGATTAAGAAAGTTTCATTTGAATTTAAAAAAAATACTTATTACGGTCATTCTTCGAGAGTTTCGTGCATTTATGTGACACTTGAATTTGAAACCTTTGTGCAATGGGATTTTTAATTATAAATTGAGAAAAGAAATGTTCGAAAATCAGCTTTGAAAGTAATATGTAATTTGTTATAGGCGACAAACAATTGGATCCAGGATTGAGTGCAACTGGTTGTTTCTTATTTCATTTAGACAATAATGTTTGTGCTATCGTTTATGTTGTTTATCATTAAAGTACGCACAATTTCCATCTCAAGAAAATAATAAAAGATATTTTCTAGGGGAATATCACGCAATTTTTATTCGCAAAACTTATTTCTATCTCATTTATTTCATTAAAATCTAATGAAATCTAAGCTATTTAAAATATTTCGCAAAATCTGTATTATTCACTCATATTCACCATGTGCTGACGTCATTACCGCTTCAAAAATGCTGGAAGTGGGTTTTGGTGGATCCTCAGGATCGTTCAGAACTGCTCCCGATTCTGGAAGTGGATCCTCAGGATGGGCCAGGGCATTGTCAAACCCAGTCTGGTCCATCCTGAAGATCCACCAAAACCCACTTCCAGCATTAAACTATTAGACCAAGAGCCCACCATACAAACAACTTTTTTTCTTGTGCACTGCAGAAATTCATAAAATTAACATCTTCCCACAATACTCTAACAGAAATGTACCACTTGTTTCAATGAAATTGGGCAGATGGCTTTATTCGCGGCTTTATTCGCGC